CCTTTTTATAGCTCTATAATCCCCAGAATGCTGTTGTGGGATTTGGGAGCTATCTCTGAATGTCTTTGCAAAAAAGCATGGGTGTGTGTGTGTGTGTTTTTTCTGAAACTCATGTTCATGATTGCTTCCTTCAGTGAGAGAGGGGTTCCTCCCCAAAATGAGGTGTTAAAATAGGAATGTAACTTAGATTTTTTTAAAAAGCAAAGTTGAATAAAGTATATATATTATCTATGCTAAGTTTATATAATATTAAAACTGAATAGGACCTTGCAAACATGTTCATGACAAGGTTGTACAAAGATCCTGATTTTATTCTTCTTATGAATAAAGAAGGTTCTTATGAGGGACACCTGGGCGTCTCAGTCGGTTAAGCATCTGCCTTTGGCTCAGGTCATGATCCCAGGGTCCTGGGATCAAGTCCCACATCGGGCTCATCACTCAGCAGGACGTCTGCTTCTCTCTCTGCCGGCCGCTCTCCCTGCTTCTGCTCATTCTATCTCTCTCTCTCTGTCTCTCTGACAAATAAATAAAGAAAATCTTTAAAAAAAGAATCTTATGAACTCTCAGGAGTATCTCTGTATAAGTTAAAAACATGGGGAAGTGATTTCAATGTTATAGACAAACTCTTATCCATCTACTTTGTTTTCATTTTAATCATTTCTTTCTTGCTGTAGAGTTCACATTCGATGTCGTTGGGCATGTGGTATGTTGTAGGTCTTCCGAAATTTAATGTGTGGATCATCTGATGGAAAAGATAATGACCGTAGGGCAAGGAATTTTTATCCTATTTGAGAAAGAGATAGTTCTTACATCCATCCTAGTTGATTTTGAGTCTTTGAAGAGAGATGTTCTGTAGTAAATGAAAATTTATCGTCTTAGAATTTTTAACTAGAAACTTATGTGGACCCCCAGGAGAGTACAGATCAGCTTCTATTGCAATGAATTCTAAGGAATTTCTTTTTTTTTTTTTTAAAGATTTTATTTATTTATTTGAGACCGAGAGAATGAGAGGGAGAGAGAGCACATAAGAAGGGGGAGGGTCAGAGGGAGAAGCAGGCTCCCCGCCGAGCAGGGAGCCCGATGCGGGACTCGACCCTGGGACTCCAGGATCATGACCTGAGCCGAAGGCAGTCGCTTAACCAACTGAGCCACCCAGGCACCCAAATTCTAAGGAATTTCTAAGCAATTTTTATTGTACTAAAATTTAACTGAATTCAGTTATTACTTAAAATAAGTCCATTGACTGAGAATTGTAGACTTGTTAGGCATAGTTTTTTTTTATATATATGGCAATATTTTCTGCAATAGATTTTAACTTGAACATTTAGAGTTTTGAGAACTAAATGTTGACTGAAACAGTTTTTCTTTTAAAAGTCACAGTATTTGGGACACCTGGGTGGCTCAGGCAGGTCATGATCTGCCTTCAGCCAGGTCGTGATCCCTGGGGTCCTGGGATGGATCCTGCATCGGGCTCCCTGCTCAGTGGGGAGCCTGCTTCTCCCTCTGCCTCCCACTCCCCCTGCTTATGCTCTTTCTCTCTGTCAAATAAATAAAAGCTTAAAAAAAGTAACAGTATTCCTGAGAACTGTTCCCTTTCTACTTCTTTAATCAAAAGTTGTTGGTCTATCTTTACAGCTAAGATACATTTTTTCAGGGAGAGTAATTTGTCCAGATATTCTGTGGCGCATAAAATATTGCTTCAGAGTCTCGTGTAGAGACATTAATGGATAGTTATAGGGCCTCTGGACTGGAGGGCTCACAAGGTATAAATTTCAGAAGCATCTCTAGTGTTCTCTTACTGTGACTCAACCCAGTTCAATTTCAACATTGCACGATGTCTTCATAGGGTGATGGCATATTTAAAAATTTTTAATTTAAATGTTCACTTTGATTATGTGGATGTTAGAACCAACCCTTAAGTGAACAATTGAGCTTTCTTCTTGTAGTGGATATGGACATAAAGTCTTTCGAGTACGGGACCATTTTTCACTCAAGTATGCTGATCGTCATTTTTTGGTAAAGAGACAGGGAATGCATATTTACTGGGTGCAGTTGTATATTGTCTTCATCTTGAAACATTTGGTTAGACCGTCATTTTCATTTTATCTCTGTCATGCCTACAGTTTAAATAACTGATTTATCTGTATGCAAAAGCTTTGAGAATCATAGATTCCCACGGAAAGACTCCTAGTAGGATTGGTGTTTGCGTGCTTGAGTTTGAGGCTGGCTCTGACCTTGTTTATTCTCTGTACTTGGGGAAAGTTAGTTAGGAACATCCCCCTCAGAGTACTGTTATTATGATCACAAGACACAGAGTAGGTTAAAGTTATACTTGTAAAGTATAAGGTGAATATGAATTTTAATTCATTTGTCTTGTATACCATGCCTTTTGGTCTTCTCAGTAACTGTGGGCACTCATGAGGGCTGTCTCCATCCATTCACCTCCTGTAACAACAACAACAAAAACTGCATTCTGCGGGCCTTACGAACAGCAGAAATTTATTTCTCACGGTTCTGGAGGCTGGAAGTTCAAGATAAGGCACCAGCAGATTCCACTTCCTGGCTCAGAGTTGGTTCCTTCTGTCAGAATTTCACGTGGTGGGAGGGTTGAAGAAGCTCTCCGGGGTCTCATTTATGAGGGCACTGATCCCATCAAGAGGGCTCCACCCTCCTGACCTCATCTAAACCTAATTACCTCCCAAGGGTTCCACCTCCTGATGGAGTCACATTGAGCATTAGCATTCAGTATGAATTTGGGGGAACACAAATCATTTAGTACACAGCAAGGGGCTAATTTAGAAATGGGTATAACATTGAAAAATGACGGCTACACTCTTCAATGACGGAAAGGACACAGTAACAGTTCCTGGCCCAAACATATGCATTACCTTGTGAGTGTGCATGTAGAAAATAAGGAAGATGGCGTTTTATTTGAGCAAAAAATCTAGTGGTAGAAGCTGATGAATGGGTGAGTTGCTGCTTGTTAAGCAGGGCCGTGGTTAGGACACTATACAGCTGAAAGCTGGACTTTGCAGCTTTGTCTGGATCCCTTTGTGTTGCCTGAATTCTTCCACTTTGATTTTGCTCTTGGTCTTACGATCCTTAACGGGCGAGGGAGGAATATTGACTGAGATGCAGGTTAGTGATCAGAATAGCAGGTGTTGGATGTGAGGGCGATCTGGCTGCGACATCTATCACCCCATTGATCGCCAGCGTTGATTCGGCTGATCTGGCTGGCTAGGCGGGTGTCCCCTTCCTCCCTCACCGCTCCATGTGCGTCCCTCCCGAAGCTGCGCGCTCGGTCGAAGAGGACGACCTTCCCCGATAGAGGAGGACCGTTCTTCGGTCAAGGGTATACGAGTAGCTGCGCTCCCCTGCTAGAACCTCCAAACAAGCTCTCTCAAGGTCCAGAATAGCAGGTGTTGCTACCGTTCCCCCTTCTGTTGGCAACCATGCCAACGCACGTTCCCAGTTTCAGTCTGGAATTTGTGGGAAGGAACAATAAATAGTTGGTGAGCTGTGTAATAATTTAATATACACTTACAACAAAACAAGAGCTGCTACTTATTAATTGCCTGGTATGTGCCCGGTATGGTTACATTTTATTGATGTGTGTATCTTCTTTAATCCTTCTAGCAGCCCATAAGCAAAAATGGTGATAGCACTGTTGCACTGATGGGGAAAGAGTATATGATAAATCAATAAATCGGGTAAATTACTCAAAAGTTATAGCCAGTGATGGCAGAGCCCACTGTGGAGCCTAGTTCCCTCTCATGCCATGACTCTGCTTTTCCCTCTACATCATTATAGCCTCGTTGCCTTCTGTGATAACTCTGTTCCTTGAGGCTTGAGCAAGAAATTGTTGCATGATACCTCTGCAGGACAAAGCAACGTGCAAACCACTCGAGTGTGGAACCTTTCTCGGAGGTTAAGTATTGGATGGGTTCTAGGCCGTGCTCACCAGCCTGCTGGCTCTCCACGTGTTCCACAGAATGGGTGCACGCGAATCTGGGTCATGCTTCTCCTGTGTTGCTGACTCCGTGGAGCCTGGGATGCCCCAGGAAGGCTCAGGGCCTCTCCTGGGTGTGGACGTCACTTGGTGAAGCCTTTGGAGATCTGTACTTTGGGGGAAGTGCCAGGAATTTACCTGTTTCTCTAGTCTCAGTTCTAAGCACTTGGAGATTGTTGGCTTCCAACGACTGAAATTTCTTTCTTCAAAATGTCTCAGATACATCCCTTCCTTGCTCGCAGCATGGTCCCCGCGGTTTGGGGCCCCATCCCTTTTGTCCTTGGAGAGCTGTAGCAGCTTCTTACCTGGGTTTCTCTGCCATTAGCCTCTTTTGTTTCCATTCAAGCCTCTGTGCTATTTTCAGATCCGTTTTATGCAGAGATTTCCTGTTGATTAAATGTGCCTGCTTTCTGGGGCTGTCGCTTGGCATTGTTCCCCAGAGTCCTGTGCTCAGACTGGGCTGGAGTAGGCCGATGACTGCGCTGCCTTCGTCCACTTCCTCCCTCCCTGGGCCGCTCTCCTCTGTTGTGTCTCTCAGTCAGATAGTCCCTTCTTCCTCTTCTCCACCTGCAAAATCCTTCTGTGTAATTCAGAGCCTGCTGCTATTTTTCCACCTGGAAATTGTCCTCTGACTTCTGTCCCTCACTGATCTCTTCCTTCTTGGAACCCCTCCCCCCACCCCCGAATTCTGTGCTTTATGATATCTTCTTTTTACTCACAGAAGTTTCTGAGTAGATTATCCTAAAACTTCAGGGCCCCCTATTCTTTAATCCCTCTGATGCCCAGCAAAATCGGTAGGCATAAAGTCACCCGTTGTGGACGGATTCCTTGTCACCGTGTTAGCTCTTCACCGTGGTGCTTTAAAATGAAGAAAAGTAACGAAATAACACATATGTACAGAAAAGTGCTGTGATTTTAAACTTAACCTGATACTCCCCTGCTGTGCTGAAGTGTTTTGTTTTGTTTTCTTCTTCTTTTTTTGTCTCGCCAGCAATCAAAGAGAAGTACACAGACTGGACAGAATTCCTCATTCGTGATTTGACTGGTTCCCGGACGGCACCTGCCAACCTCCTGGAAGGTGTATGTATTGTTGTTATTCAGCTATTCTGTGTCTGAAGCCTCACGGTCACATGAGCACCTTTGCCTATATCCTTCGGCAGGTACACGTGTATTACATGTGGATATCTCTATCCAGATAGCCTAACTTCCTGTTTTTTTCCTGAATTGTTTAGGTTAATGATTCTCATGGCACCGAAGTGTCTTCACCTGTGGTATAATCAATAAGTGGAAAATTGGCTTCTGTGTGAACACATTTTTAAGTAATACTGTGTTAGGATATCTTTCCACTATCCTATACATGTAAGCCTCTGTCCTATATTCGCGAATATGAATAAAATCCTGGAGAAGACCTGTTTTGTAGAGATGACCACAGAGCATATTTGTGCTCTCTTATAGTCTTGGAGCGTGTTGATAAGTGGTTCCATTGACTCTTCCATTCTGGATGCATAACCTCACGCTAACAGCACACACGTGTTGAGTAATAATCGAATTAGCCTCCCTTATGAAAACAAGAGGAGAACTGGCTAATCATATTTCAGTGTGGTTAAGGTGTGCTTAAGGTCCCGAAGAAAAAACAGTTTAATCTGCAATCTTGATGGTTCATTTGACAATAATTTTATGATAAAGCATTTTAATATTTACTATATATAATAGAACAGAAGGAGCACTGTACTGTCATAAGTAATTATTGAGGTACCAAATCTGTTTGAGGAATGCTCCCCCCAAAGAGGGGGGAAACAGTAAATAACAGGAATACGATGTGGATTGTGACGGTATGATTACTCTCTTAATGTTAACTATGAATTTCCCTCCTCTCAGAAATGACATTGATTTTTGGAACACTACTGTCTAATATACAGTTATTCGGTTTTATTCTGTGAAGATTTTGCCTGGTGTATTTGCTTATCTTAATGGCTCCTAATTTGTTTGGTTAACAAATCAAAATGATGATTCTTCACCCTTTCAGAAGGACAAAATGTCTTACTCTGTTCACTTTTTTTTTTTTTAACATATTTGCCTACAAGGCTGACTGAACAATCACCCTTTTCATGTGCTAACGTGCTGAGAAGGTTTCTTATACGGGGCAGTAATTATATATATATATATATATGTATATATATATACATTCTCTAAACCAACTAGGGATCAAGTGTAGAAATAACTTTACATAATTGTCTAATGTAGCTGATCATTAATGTATATTATACATGTCATTGACACATATTCATGCTTTGCCCAAAGTATGAGAGAGTGACATTATAAGATGAATGTGTGTTGAGTCATGGGGTAAGTTGATAGCCCCATAGTCTATGGGAAAATAGACATTTAGCTACCACGTATTTTCTAGCAGGAGGCCAATTTGGTGTAACTCTTCTTAAAAGCATGCTTATTTCTAACAAATGCAGTTTTATCTGGGAAGGGTGATTTGTTTGGTGAGAACCGAGCACAAACTGTTATGTTCTGTTTACTTGTGATTCTTGTTGTTGGACAGAGGGCTGGGTGGGATGGACGTGTGTGTGGAAGGAGTGGGATGAGGATGGGGGTGGAGGGAAACACCAGACTGTTTGCCAGTAGCTTGGATGATGGTGTGAAAAAATATTATCTTCTGCTGTCATCTGTTTCCATGAGAACCTTAAAATAAAGTTTAAAATAAGGAGTTTTGCTTCTGTTTAAACAGCCTCTGCGAGGGAAAGGCCCTATAGACCTCATTACAGTTGATTCCTTAATAGAACTTCAGGATTCTCAGAGCCCTTTTCAGTACTGGATAGTTAGTGTGATTGAAAATGTTGGAGGAAGATTACGCCTTCGCTATGTGGGATTGGAGGACACTGAATCCTATGACCAGTGGTTGTTTTACTTGGATTACAGACTTCGACCAGTTGGTTGGTGTCAAGAGAATAAATACAGAATGGACCCACCTTCAGGTAAGGGCCAAAGCTTTTGCTGCTGCGAAGTATTTTGGTAAAAGATGTGATATTTTCCTGGATGTGTCTCTGGAGAGTTTGTTAGCTCCGTGGTATCATTTACACATGTGTATGTGAATATTAAGCATTTTAACCTCAGAATACTCTTCTATGGGAAATAGAACTCAAGACCTCCGTAAATAGTGTTCTAAAAGGAGAAAGCAGTAGAGGCTGTGCTGAAGTTGATCTCATTCCTTTGGAATCACTGATTCACAAATGAAAGACACAATGGACTGGGACTTGGTCATATTCTCCCTTTTTCTTTAGGAATTTTGACAGTCTTGGAAGTAGATTCCAAAATCTCTGTCTGCCCATACATCCTCTATTCATCCACCCGCCCCCACTTATCCATTCATTTATCCATCTGTCTCCATTCATCCATATCCCTCCCTCCATCCGTCCATCCACCCACCCATCCACTTACCCACCTATACATCTACTCATCCTCCAGCCTCCCACCTATTTGCCCCCCCCATCTCCTTCATCCATCCATCCATCTATATCCATCCATCCATCCATTCATCCATCTGACTATCCAACCAAATGCGGTTATATAATCTGTCCTGACCTGGAAATAGCAAAGAGAAAATCATCATACTTTTTTCTGGCACGTCATGGATTTTAATTAGCTCCAAATGCCCTGTCAAATGACTTTCTGCAGACTTAATTGGATGGAAGAATGCATTATGCTTCTTGATGTACCTCACTGGGCAAAAATCTCCCTGTTCACAAACTAACCATTCTTGAATGTTTACTATGTGCCAGGTGATTTTACATCCGCTGTGTTGTTTGTTTTGATTACAAAAAGTGCTCCATGTTTGGTGTGAATATTTCCTTTTCCACCAGAGAAAATTTGAGACTGAGGTTAAGCTGCTTGTCCAAGGTCATCTAGCTTGGAGAGAGGGGATATACTATAGTTCAAATTCCTAGGCCCTTTGCTCATTTCTTCCCATCCCCCTGCTGCCCATACTAGACTTACCAACCTTTTGATGGGTATCTTCAGAACAAAAAATGTTGGATCCTTATGGAATTAAAGACATCAAGGTAGAAATATTAATTTCTTCCAGAGATTGCTGGTTTTCATTCTGATCAATTTCACCGGGTATATTGGAAGTGAAGAGCCAAGTCCTTTGTTAAAATTGCCAGAGACTTTTTTTTTCTCCCTTATTAGTTGCCAGTGCTAGTCTCGAGCACACGAAACCGAGGACTTGCATTTTCCCTTTCTGTCACTCAAGGGCTTTAATTGAAAAAAAAATTTTCTTGGTTCTGTATGTCATGGATTTGCATTTGTGTTGAGTTTGACAGGCATATAGACACGTAACATGGTATTTTATTAGTAGTATTGTTGTCAACATTTTGAGAAGCAGCCAGGAAATCCATTTCTACCCTGAGTAATTTTGGACTATGATGACAAACAAAGGGCCTGTCAGTGTTGAGAAAAGATCTAAGCTCACATTTGCCTTGGGATTCATAACCTAGCAGGAGAAATTTACTTTGTGTGGGAAGTTGGGTGTATAAATCTTAGCTTAGTATCTAATTGCTTTATAAATTTTGGGAGATCCCTACGTTTGCCAGTGTGAACATTTATAGCAAAGCAAAGGGTTATTAGTGGCTTCTTAGGTTCTGTTCAGTGTGCCTTTGCTGTGAAGTCATGGGACTCATACTCAAAAGCAAGAATGGAAAGTGTCACCATAGAAACTTGGGAAATATTTGCAAAGGAGAGTGCTCTTTCTCTTTTGTAGATAATTTAATGTCTTTATAAGATAAGAATAAATTGTGTTTACCTGTCTTAATAATTTTCTGGACACGAGTTGTCCATTGCATGGAAGAATTCGTGGGTGTCCTTCAAGAGCTTGGAGAAGGCATTCATCGTTAAGTTATTTTCCCAACATTTAAATTGTTGGCAAGAGAAGTTTTGTATGAGAAGAGGAAAATAAAAGGCAAAAGGATACTCCAAATGTGGCCTTTAGTTCTTCAGATGCAGCAGTTGCAAGATGAAAACTGGATTCTCTTGCCTCATTTAGCAGAACAGCATGCGGGGCTGCGATTATTACCCGTGTGTTTTATTATTTTTTTAAAGTTTTTATTTAAATTCTGGTTAGTTGACATACAGTGTTACGTAAGTGTACTATATAGTGAGATACAGTGAGTCAGCACTTCCGTACCTCAACCAGTGCTCATCACGACAGGTGCACTCCTTCATCCCCATCACCTGTTTCCCCCACCCCCCACCCATCTGCCCTCTGGTCACCAGCAGTGTGTTCTCTAGCGTGAAGACTCTGTTTCTTGGTTTGTCTCTCTCTCTCTTTTTCCCTTTGCTCATTTGTTTTGTTTTTTAAATTCCACACATGAGTGAAATCATATGATATTTGTCCTTCTCTGACTGACTTGTTACACATAACATTATACTTTCTAGCTCCATTCATGTCATTGCAAATGGCAAGATTTCAGCCTTTTTGATGGCTGAGTAATATTCCATTGTATATATATACACACCACCTTTTCTTTATCCATTCATCAGTCAGTGGACACTCAGGCTGCTTCCATAATTGGGCTATTATTTACAATAATATATAATAATAATAATATGTAATAATAATACGTGTTACTTTGGGTTTGTGTAAATTAATTTCAAGACCCAGAGTAACTTAAAACTTACATGGTAGTGCTCTTTGCTTCACTGAAATGTAGGTGGGAATAAAATTTCAGGCTTGCATAAAGATATTAGCTATTGTTCTTAATCCTGAGTGTTGAGTGTTAAGTGGTGTGAGAGGGAGATTTGGAGGTGTGGGGGCCCAGGGCAGAGGATAGATGTTTCGGGTGCACCATGAGAGGAAGCCGTGCAACCCCCCAGCCTCCCTGCCCGCTGGACTGGGTGTCCCCATGAACTGCCATCATCGCGAAAACGGACCACTTGATCTCTCTACTTTTTAAAGGGCACGATCTTTCTCAACTGTTCAGTACCAAGAAAGGTAGAAATAGGAAATAGAAAGTAGCTAGTTTTCAGAACCTCTAGGAAAAGGGGCTGCTTTGATGCTGTCCACCAGGGAAGCTTACAATCACTGTGCCTTTTCATTTCTGGCCCGAGTCGGAGAACACAGGTTGGGGCTCCGCACCCTGGCCTATTCAGGGGTCATGTAGGTGCCGGCGGAGTAGGTCAAATCCAGCTTCTGTGAAGAATGGGTGAGCGGGCAGGAAGTGGTGAAATGCCGGGTGATCAAGGAAGGGCGGCAGTAGCTAAAGTCCTTAGTGGTCCAGGCTTTATCAAGAACTGTACAATACAGTAATTCAGCACTTCCCTCCATCACCCGGTACTCATCATGACAGGTGCGCTCCTTCATCCCCATCACCTGTTTTCCGCCACCCCCCACCCACCTACCCTCCGGTGACCAGCAGTGCGTTCTCTAGAGTGAAGACTCTGGTTTTTGTTTTTTGTGCCTTTGGTTTTTTTTATTTGTTTTTCATTTTTGTTTGTTTGGTTTTGCTTGAAGGACCTTTAATGAAGGCCAGAAATACAATGTGGAGCAAGAACCATGCAGAAGGGTTCTGTTCCAGGCATTTTGCCTTGTACAAGTAGAATGAAGTCACCGGGTCAGACTTTTAACTGGCATTATTTCAGACATTGTTCCAACCCCTTCATCTTACAGTAGAGTCTGAAGCCTCGAGGTTAATGACTTGATGGGTCAAGGTCACACACCACGAAGCTGAGCTGCAGCTAGAACACTGGCGTCCAAACTCCCAGCCCAAGTCTCCTCCTCCATTACACTAACATTGGGAGTTGACAAAAGAAAGGGGGAATAGGAAGGGTGATTTTTTCCATAAATTAAATCAGCTTTAAAAGCCAGGCAGATGTGTTGGAGTCCCTTTCAGCTTCAGTGTTGAACAGAAGGCAAACCGCATTCATTTAGGGACTTTCTGGCACATTGGCCTCCCCTGTGACCCACCGGGGTGCTAAGCATGCCCTGTCTTTGGGGTGCTGTTCTTCTAGATGTAGCATGGCCCACCCCCCTCACTTTGTTCAGACCTGAGAGGATTTTAGTAGCCCCTCGAACTGAACATCTGGGTCTGAGTCTCTGCTGTCTCCCCAGTGTCTCACCCAGTGCCTGGCACGTAGTAGGTGCTCAGTGAATATTCGTTGAATGAATTGACTGAATAAAAAGTTGGGTATGTCTGGAGGGAGGGCAGGAACCAGCCAAGTCCACCTTCCAGGAGCCAGATAATTGATGGGGCTGTGGATGCCCATCTGGAGTGGAGGGCCTGGAATGAAGACACCCCCAGAATGGCAGGGGCTGTGCTGTCCTCTTTGCCCCTGATGTGGGAGGGGAGCTTTTGAAGACCGGGTCAGATCAAGGAGAGATGCTCTGCTATTCAGCACCCAGCATGGCTCCAGGACCTACTCCATGCACAGGAATATGGCCTGTGGGCTTCCTGATCATTTTTGTTCCTCTAGAGGAGTTCATGTGTGCCTCCAGCTTGAGGAAGCTGGCGGAGTAGGAAAAACATGGACTTGGAGCCAGGGTCCAAGTTAGCTTCTCCTTGCACTTTTGTTCCTCCCTACAGAGCCCTGGGAAGTACCTCTACTTTCCTTCTCTGTGAAATGGGGTAACTATACATTTGCTGTGCTGCTGAGTGTCACAGTGTACCCCAAGCGATTGGCGTTTTCTGGGTATTCAGTCTGTAAGCTGAGTTTTATGGTTACATTTGGTTTTCTAAGAAATTTAAGTAGGTCACTGAGGTCAGGAGTTTTTTAGAGATTCCCCCCTGCTTTCATATTTCTGGATGCTCAGAAAGCAACGTGGAGTCTTACATGTTTTTGCAGAAACTAAGGACATGAAACTTTGTGAGGTCTTTCTCATCTCTAGGTGTTTTTCCATATATATATATATTTTTTGCCTTCTCAATCTTTATGTCAGCGTTTCCTTTTCCTTTTTCTTTTTTCTTTTTCTTTTAGATAATTCCTGGAGTCGAGAAGCTTGTGAACTATTTCTTAGTCGAGAAACTGCCCCCAAACGCTTTCTGTATCAGGTAGCTCAGGTGGCCATAAAGAAATGCCAGTGAGTGGTGGGTTCAGACCACACAGATGATTTTCTCACTGTTCTGGAGGCTGGAAGATCCCAGATGAGGGTGTCGGCAGGGTTGAGTTCTGGGGAGAGCCCACTTGCTGATTTGTGGATGGTCTCTTCTTTATGTGCACACGGAGAGAGAGACAGAGAGCTCTGGGGTCTCTTTTATAAGGGCACTAATCCCATCACGGGGACCCCACCCTTATGATCTCATCTAACCTTGATTACCAACTCCGCCGCCCCCCCCCCGAAGGCCCCATCTCCAGATACTATCCCGTTGGGGGTTAGAGCTTCAACATATTACTTGGGGGGAGACACGAACATTCAGTTCTACAGCCTTCCCAACATCTGTTAACAGCCATAGACCAGTCTTTGCTCACTGGTGAGAGAAGGAAGGAGTGGTGGTTGCAGAGTACTTGAAGAAGGGGATCACCCCCCCAGGCCTTCATTTAGTCTGAGGCTGTGAGCTGGTGGTCTCACGCCCCTCTCCTGCTTTCTGCAGCTCTCACCTTTGCAAGAGCCAGCCAAACGCTCGCTCAGAGGGGGATCGCCTCACTTTCACGTAGGCTTCTAGTTAAAGATGGATCAGGCCCGATTTTAATTGCTTATTACTTCCCCACAAACAAATCGACATGATACACTCTATTAAATTACCTGCAACACAATCATTTTAAGAAAATGGTTTATGTTCTTTTAATGGTGCTATTTATTGTCCATAAACTTGTCGGTGTAACCAAGCGCCTCTCTGGCTAATGAAACGCACACATGGAATATTGTTCTCTGCTTATAGAAACCATTAGGTGTGTAGCTTTTGCAGGTGGTTGAGCATACTGAAAAAAGTGCATCTGATTTTCACCTTTTAAGAGAAGTGGGCCTTGCCATAGGGTTACATTCCATATTAGGGCTTTATAGCCTCAGAAAGAAGACAAAGGATCTTAGGATTATAGGACAGAGACCCAAATCCTGAGGAACCTGGGTTTCTTGGTCTATTCAGGCTGCTACAGAGAATAAATAGCACAGACCTGGTGGCTTCTAAACGGCAGCATTCATTTCTCACACAGTTGTGGAGGCTGGAAACCTGAGATGCAGGCACCCCCAGATTTGATGTCTGCTGAGGGCCCGGCCTGCTTCCGGGGTCACAGACGGTGGCCTTCTTGCAGTGTCTTCACATGGGGGGAGGGGCGAGGGGGCTCTCCTTTGTAAGGACACTAATGCCATTAATGGGGGCTCCCCCCCATGACCTCCCAAAGGCCCCACCTCCTAAACATCACTTTGGGGGTTAGGATTTCAACGTATGACTTTGGGGGGACAGCAACATTCAGCCCGTGGCCCCAGGCTTCTGGTTTGCTGGGAGAGAGATGGCATCAGGAGGACTGGGGGCTCGACTTTCAGGGATGACGTGGGCCCAGTGGTGCCCTGCCAGGTGCGTGTGGACACAGGTGTCAGGAAGGGCGAGCATCCTTGTGGGGGTCTCTAGGTCACCTGGCTTTGGTTCTGGGAGTCCAGCTCGAACTCTGGCCAGCTGGGCTTTTGCTCTAGGTCTTGCATAGTTTTCTTGAACTGTCCTTCTCTTGCCCTCCTCTCTGTCTCAGGGGCTCCCCCGCCCCCAGACCACGGGAGTTCAGGTGCCAACACGGTGCACCTTCTCCTGCCTTTTCCCACCTTTCCTGTCTTGTCTTTGGCAGTCGCCATCCTTTCTCATGACTTGCTTCTCCTTTTACTACTATGCCAAGGCTGAACTCCCTGGCCAGCTTCCAGATCCCTGGGAAAGTGAATTAGTTCTCGCCTACTCGGGAACCCTAGGCTCTTGCGTGTTGTTTCCGTCCTGAGCCCCTCATGACCTGCTGCTCTGGTGCCCTCAGGTCTTTCCCTCCTAGAGCCCTCTTGAGTTGCCTCTCCTCCACTGGGATTTTGATGCAGTGCCCCTGAGCTGAACCATCTTCCCATCCTCCTGGGACAATTCAGAAGGCTGTGAACCCGTCCCTCTTCCTCCTTTGTGGGACGCCGTGATGCGCGATGTCTCCCTCAGCACCCCTGCTCACCTGTGGATGTTGGAGGGACCATTCCTCCGTTTTCTGCACAGGTGTTAACTGGGGCTTCACTGTGTTCCCCTAAATATGTCAGAAGCTACTAAGAGGAATCACATTCTATTCTTGTTCTGATATAGAAATGCCAAATTGGAAGAAAAAAAAAAAATTCCCCCGAGGTAGAAGAATGTAAATAAAAGTTAAAATATCCTCTCTTGTCGTTAATAACCCTTTACGGGACTTTGCGTAACCGACCAGGAGTGAGGGGGCTGTGCCTTGATAACCTGACTCCTTCCTGCACCATCTCTCTCCCATCATAATTACGGGAGTCTGAAAAGACTCAATAAACTGCTTGAAACACAGGAGCTTCAGGCTCAAGGTGAGTTCAAAAGCTGTGGGCATCGAAATACACGGCTGCATGCTGAAAAGCAGACATGCAAGAAATTAAAAATATAGCCCCAAAGGTTTAATGTCGCCTTTTAACTGTGCTTAAATTCATATTCATGTCCTGTCTGTCTGTCTGAAATAGCCTGGGTTGATATAGGGAAGGTATAAACATATCTCCTTCAAGTGAGTGCTTCTGCAAATCCTATTTTGATAAGGTCTTAAATCCGTTGAAATCAGATCATAAAATCCCCCTGCAGTCTCAGCAATCGGTGGAAACAGTGCTCAACAAATTTTTTTCTTTCAGTTCTGCATTCAGCCAGAGTAGCCTCCGTTCGTAAATCTCTCTGTCCACCCCCCTCCCCCCACCCCACTGCCTGGGGGGAAAATATGGGCAACATGTGGTGTGTTAGCAACATTTCAAGTGTAAATATTAAACTTGGTTGGTAAATTTTAATTTACCTTTTAATAATTTTCTGGCTTACAGAGTCTATTTTTAGCATACGAGAGCTTAGAGATCTAGTGAAAAATATGCTGTAATATCTGAAAATGCCAGACAAGAGTCATTTCTAGTTTAGAAATTTATCCGATAACAAGTTCTTCATCAGTGGATATTACTTCCCAGGTGATTCATGGAATTTGGGGCAGCGGATGACTGAGGATGGTGCTAATGTGATTTATGCCAATAAATTACTTATGGGATGCCCATAGAATGCATGCAAATGCAAATGTTCCCCAAAGGGCCCCAAAGGGCCCTGTAAAGTTTAGTCTTCATTTATGATCGCAGAGTCTCAGGTTGTTCTTTACCGTCAGAAAATCCCGTTAGCAGGTGGCCTTTTATGGGTCAGGGTGTAAGTTCTTATGGTCGCTGAGTATGCCGAGTGACTCTGAGAACTTGGCAGATATAAAATTCAAAGGGAGAACCACCCCGCAGAATATTTTAGTCCTTAAACGCTTATGTGGTTTGCTGTTGATACAGAAATCTATCCTTTGAAGATGGCGTCTGAGTGGAAATGTGCTCTGGAAAAATCCCTTACTGATGCCGCACACTTTCCTCTTCCAATGGAAGTATTTAAGGTAAGATGTGGGTTCGTGGCGACTTGTTTACTCTTCTCCACACTAACCGTTCTCCAGTGAAAAGTTTCTCACAGCCAATCATTTTCCACGGTTGGAAGAGCTACCTGCTCAGCGGGGTCCCATTTGAAATGTTTAAAATGTTACCTGTGTGCTTTTGCCCTGTTTTGTCATCTTCACAGATTCCTCATATTACAGAAGCCTGGTTGGAATTCTGTGGCTTTACCGCTTTTCTCCATGTTGTATTATTATAGAATAATAACACCTCATGTGCGCTCCCTCACCCCTTACGAAAGGAACAGGACACGTAGCAAGTCTATTTTTGGTATTTATTTGGTAAAAATAATAGAAAGTGATGCTCCTCTTGATGGTTCGGTTTCCTGGATAGCCCGAGAAATGTGTGTGAGTACCCGAGGGGCAGTAGGCCTGGGGGTTGCTAACAGAAGGGAGGTGGACACACAACTGAAATGGATCACCAGGTTCTTACCACTGTAAAATGATGCCTGGCCCTTCTACATAGATGAATACGAAGCTGTGGGCGATGATCCGTGCGGGCCAGAGGGAGTCCCGAAACGTTCTCTCCCTCCCTGAACCCCAAGTCCTTGGGCGGCTCAAACATGGTTGCTGTTGGCTGGAGGAAAGTGGTTTTCCAGGCCCGAGGGGGCACATTTCTGCCACACACGTCCCCCAAGGAGACCAAAATGCCGATGGTGTGAGGTGCCATGGGCAGCAAGAGTTTAGGGCCTGGGCGCGGGCTTCCTGAATTTCAGTTACCCCAAAGGCCTCACTCAGAATTGGAACCCGTCACGGCAAATTGTGAACCTTCTCGATCTGCACTTTCCTTGTTGTAGAATTGGAGTTAAAAAGATGGCTTTTTTGAAACTAGAGATGAAATTATGTTCTGAGGTTATTGGGTAGATGGCTTTTACAGTGTTTTGATCCTCCTGTATTAGAAGAACAGCATAGATGGAATAGGCTGCTAGGGGCTAGTGATCGCTGGAAGTAAAACGATATCTTGGGCATTTTTTTTTTTTTTGCTAACTGATCGAATACTTCTTTCCTCACCTCTCCCATCCTCCCTCCCTCACTTCCTTCTTTCCTTCTTTTCTCGCTTTCCTGATAACATCCTGCCTGGAAAAGATAAAAAATAAGAAAGAAAAACAGCTTTTGCTTTTCCATAACTTACCTGGCTCCATGGCCTCTGCGTGTCCCCCCGGGGACCCCGACAGTTGGTGTCCACTCTCTTCACAGTGGCCTTCGTAATATTTTAAGTGTATACACTGGATCATGTCCCTCACTCTTGACAAAATAGATTTTCTTTTGAAGTATATTCTACACCTGTGAGGCGCTCAAAGAGTAATGGATGAAAGCACGACTATGCACCTCCAGTCTAGACGTGAGAGGTCGCCACCAGAAGCGTGTCCTTCCCCGACGCGCTCTCCTGCCTCTTCGAGGGGACCCGGCACCCTCACTTTTGTGGGGATCATTTCGCTGCTTCTCTTTGTAGTGTTACTGCCAGTGTATGTCTTCCTAAATGTTATGTATTTGCTTTTGACAAGGTAAGAAGCAGGTATAAGCCTACTTGTTTCAGAAGAGGCCTTTGCCTGGGGCACCTAGCAGGCTTAGTCAGAGGAGGGTGTGACTCTTGATCTCCAGGTTGTGGGTTCGAGCCCCACATTGGGTGTAGAGATTACTTAAAAAAAAAAAAAAATCTTTAAAAAAAAAAAAAGAGGCCTTTTCCTGCTCTTTGGAGGGGAAAATAGCTGGATGATGTTTGGTTAACAAGCTGGCTTTGCTTTTCCTCAGTTGACAAGAGTCAACAAAGTCATGAGCTGGTCTTAAGAGAATTAGGGTTTATCGTAGTTGAGCCATCTGCCAGAGCTGCAGCTGAACTCCAGGTACTGGACATCCTGAGAAATACGGACAGGAACCAGTCGGTTTATATTTTCTGCTTTTATAGCTTACTCTGTTCCAGGAACAGGCCCAAGCACTACTCTTCTGTGAAGTGAATGGAATGTTCTCCTCGGCTCCAGGCAGCTGGGCCTAGAGCAGGGACTGGGAACTTGTGTAGTGTTTGGTCAGAATGAGCCAAATACTGTCCACAGCCTCGTCGGTCTGCCGTGCTTTGGCGTTCTCCCCTCAGGTCATGAAGATGAGGCAATGCTGCAAGCCATCTTCAAGATGGTGGCCTTCAGTATCCTTCTCGCTTTGAATGAGAATGTCTTTATTCTTTCTTTATGCTTCCCTGATTGTTTGGGTAAAGAATTCTAGGCTCGCTGTCACTTTTCTCAAGAATTTAGAGGTATCACTCCATTTTCCCTCCCTTCTCTGGACTCTTGCATTTTCCTCCATTGTCCTGCAATTTCACAGTTGATTGCCATGGTGGACATCTCTTTTCTTCCACAGTGCTGGCCATCTCCGGTGTCTGCCTTTAATTTGGGGATGTTTCTTGTTTAAAATGATGCCTTCCACTGCTCTTTTGCTTTCTTGATCTGTATGTGGACGTGCTATTCCTGGACTGTCTTTTTACTTTTTTTTTTTCTCCTTTCAGTTCTACTTTTCATTTCCTTGTCTGTTGGTGGCACTTCGAGAAGTTTTATGAACTTATTTGTACTGTCCTGTTTTTATGAGCACTTCTTTGGTGGGTTTTTGCTGAATGCTGTTTATAGCCTCCTCTCCTTACCACATGGATGCATGAGTTCATCTTATTGGAATTACTGGTTTTTGAAAGTCTTCTTTTTTCCCCTGAAAAATTTATTTCCTCCGTGTTGGTTTGGTTCCTGACGTTCTTGTTGGAGGCTGAAAATCCTTGACCGTGGCTCTTGAGTAAGAGGGGGGTTAGAAAGCTGAGGGCAGAGCTGGTCAGTGTAGATGACCTTGGAGAGCTACTTCTTTGTATGGTGCTGATTTTCCAGGGGAAGTTTTTCAGCTTCCAGCCTGGGGCTCAAAGTCCAGCTGCTGGTGGTGTTGAGTGAGTGGGGCAGAAGAGGGCCGGGGTTTTGGCACCGAGGGCCCAGGTATCTGCACCCGCGGTCCAGTGGCCATCTGTTTCACCCTCTCTGCTGGAGACTGGGAGGACGGTTGATCTTTTGGAGTAGAGAAGGGGACTTCTTCTCTCATCTGCTCCCATTTACTGCCATTTTTTTTTTTTTTTTTTTAAGATTCTATTTATTGGGAGACGGAGAGAGCATGTGTGAGCACGGGGAGGGGTGGGGACGGGCTAGAGGGAAGAGGAGAGAATCTCAAGCAGACTCCCCACTGAGCACCAAGCCCAACTTGGGGATCCATCTCATGACCCTGGGATCATGACTTGAGCTGAAACCAAGAGTCAGACGCTCAACCAACTGCACGCCCCCACCTCCCGCCAGATATCCCACATTCACTGCCAGTTTTAGGCCCATGTGGTATTACTGGCTTCTGAGTCTCCTGAGGATCTGCAGTTTCCTTGGATTGGTTCTCAGCTTAGCTGCTGAAGCCTCGGGATTTCGCTCTGTTGATGGTGTTAAATTAGTCCCTTCTTGTTCGTCTGCATTTTTGCTCCCATACCTTTGTCGCTATCGAGAGGGTTCGTGTCTTAAAAAAAAACAAAAAACTCTTTACTGGAATTTTGGTTAGAGTTTAGGAAGATGTTAAATTAATGTTTCCGTTTGCCATCTGCATCTGGCACCCCCATGCAAGCGCCGTGTGGCCTGCGATGTAGGTGAAGCACCCCCGTGTCCTTCCAGGTTGTTCGGAGCCAGCTGGGACTCCATGCATGCTTCCCTGTGCACCTCACGTGTGGTGCCTCCCCTGTGTGCCAGGTACTGGCCTCTCCTCAGCTCAGCACATGCCTTTTGTACCTGTCTTGTTCTTTCTGTTAGATCCTGCTGAAGGATTCAACTGCAAATGTGCATTCTCTTACAAAGCCTTCCCGGGGCCTGGGCCTCTGTCCCTACTCCCTTACGTGTCTCTGTCGTGCCTTGCCGCCCAGCTCACACTTAGACTTCGTTGTCTGTGTCGTTCTTGGTGGACTGTCCATGTCATTTTGCCTAACTGAAGCTTCAGGAAGGCACGGACCGTGTCTGTCTTGTTCAGTGTTGAATCCATTCAGCCAGACTCCGTGGCGGCAGTAGGGCTCAGGAAATCCTGTCAAATGTATGAACAAATTCTTTTTTTCTTTTTTTTTTTAAAGATTTTATTTATTTATTTTTTATTATTATTTTTTTTAAGATTTTATTTATTTATTTGAGAGAGAGAGAATGAGAGACAGATAGCAAGAGAGGGAAGAGGGTCAGAGGGAGAAGCAGACCCCCTGCCGAGCAGGGAGCCCGATGCGGGACTCGATCCCGGGACTCCAGGATCATGACCTGAGCTGAAGGCAGTTGCTTAACCAACTGAGCCACCCAGGCGCCCTGCATGAACAAATTCTTGACCAGTGTATTTAACTCATTGATTTAAAATATTTTGAGTTAATGTAGTTGTGGTTTAACTGGATATACAGACTTACTATTCAGAACCGTGAGTACCAAGACAGAAAATGTAGAAAGGCTAATAATCCTGATACATTTTTAATTAATAATTTACTAATTCATCAAACATTTATTGAGCAGCTACTCTCTGCAAAATGCTATTGACTTCGATTCCAGGGTCTCATCATTTGTCTACATTTCTCAAAATTCAGTGACCTTCTTCCCTCACTTCAGGGTTTTCCTGTTAGAATTCAGACTATTTTTTGGTCGGGGGGGCACTGCTAGAGTTCTCATTGCCCTCAGTGCTTTGTTCATAATGAATAAGTTGCTCTAAGAGTAGATACTGAATAGTTCCTGTTTTTCACAGGACAGATGGAATGGGCATTTTCATAAATAAAAATGGGTCGAGTTGAAAATTATGTGTTCTTAAAGCTCGTGAGGCACTTTCATGAATGTTTCCTCTTATTTCAATTCGGTGGAAAAGAAGTGGGCAGTTTCACTTTCTCAACCATGCTTTGTAGGGAGTGGATATTTATATGTTGAATTTTGGAATCG